ATATATATAGTTGTAATATATATATATGCTATATATATACACATGTATGTGTATATCGATGATGGATATATATATATGCATGTATGCAGACATATATGTATGTTATGTTATGTTATGTTCTGTTATGTTTTGCTTTGTTTTGTTATGTGATGTGATGTGATGTAATGTAATGTAATGGATGGATGGATGCATGTATGCAATTGTATGCAATTGTATGCATGTAGTGTAATGTAATGTAACGTAATGCAATGTAATGTAGTGTATCTATGTATATAACTATATATGTATATATGGGATGTGTTTGGAGGTTGGGATTTTAACTTAGAAACCATTCATCAAGGGACATCAAATCATGCGGCTGAGTCTGCCAAGGCTATCGCCATTCCGGGTATCGGGCAGCGCTTTGCCATTCTGGAACCGGGGGAAAATCCGCAATCCAATCGTGAGTTCAATCGCAGCTGGGCTCAGCTGGGTGGAGAAAAGATGCTTGGGCCGGATGTGATATGGAAAATGATGAACATCATCTGGCAATATATGTCAGAGTTTCAGAATTTTTGGGAACTACTGTAGGGAGTCGCCCATCCACAAGTTTGCCTTGAACATTCGAGCAACTTTGGCGTATTCATTGGTTATCGATCCACTGTTGAGAAATGCGACGGCAAATTCCGCGGCATCTTGCGCGACGGGCTGCTGAGGTGGAGGGTATTTGCGAAGAAGCACTACGAATCTTCTTGAAGAAGGCGAAGTCTGTAGCTTTAGTGCCTTCACTTAGAGCAGCTGGTTCGTGCTTCAAGTATGGTAATATGGATTATATAATATGGGGTAATGTGAACTGCGGGTTCATAAACCCATGCTGATGATATCATGGGGCTTCCCCTCAAAATGTGACAATTTGCGAGTAACATTGCAGTCCTACAAGCGACCAACTAGAGTTTTTTTCTTTTCCAGCCAGCAAAATGGTAAAAGGGGTCAGTCATCGGCCTCCAATGCAAATCCATTACCAACATATGACTCATGCCATCTGTACTTAGCAGATAGTTCCTCTTCAGTACCTGCAGGCCAAAACTGATCGCCTTATGCTGCGGGATTTCTTTCAGAAATTTGGGACCTGAACCTTCTCCCTGAAAATTGGGATGTCAAACTTAGGGAGTTCTCCATGACCAGAAAAACGTCTGCGGGGAACCTCCAAGGTTCCTTAGACACTTCCAAGGGCCGTCTCTACATTCAGTGCCCGGCTGTGTGACTTGGACGCTGTGCAAAATGAATCACAGCTGTTCAGGATGGGATATGACGAGTTTGTACATGTATACAGTATATGACTGCATCTCTCTCTCTCTCTATATATATATAAAGCATATATATATATAAAGCATATATATATAGCATATATATATATCATAATATATATATATATTACATATTTGATATATATATATATACAGATGCTATATATATAATATACGATATATATATATATTATCATATCTTATATATATATGTATACACATACACTAAGAAAAGTCATGCAGGTATACATCCAGAACATCAATTCAATAATTCGAATTCAAATCACATGATTTTGAGACACGCGGTGTATCCGTGCGGCGACACGGAGGTTGATCTCTGGGCGCTTGATACCTTCGGGCGTGGCATTTCTGCTGCTGAGTTTCCTGGCATGGCCTTTACTGATGCAGGCCCGTGAGAGGCGCAGCTGGAGTGTGGCTTGAAGCTGACCGAATTCGGATGATTCAATCTGCTGAACATTTACTCTCTGGGTTTTTAGCAACAATTTTTGGGCTTGATGGTGAATCTTGGGCAAAGTGCGATGACTTTGGAATGGACATTTCCTGAAGACTAGAGACGCATCAGTTAGCAGAAGCCCACAACAACAAAAGACGCAAGATGAGCAACAAAAAGATGGTTGGGGTTCTGCTCGGATCGCAGGCGAACGTGGCTACTGGCAGGGTTACCAGGATTGCAGTCAGATGGAATGGGGTCAAATTCAAGATTACTCAGCCCACGTATTTTGGGGTCATCTTGAATTTTGAGTTCTCCAGATTTTCCACCCAAAACTGAGGGGTTGAAAACTGGAGGGTCAAAGATTCAACATTGTCTTTCTTTGTTGAGCTTTCAACCATCCAGATTTGGAATGTTTAGGGGAGAATGTGGCCACTTGGATCATACCCTGACGTTGGATGTTGGGCATGAATCCCGCGCAACGTTACATACATATACACCAGTAAATTTTGAATCATCAACATGCAGCATGGTCAATGTGGCTATTGCTAAACATTCTTGATGCCCATTTACCATCTGGGAATTTAAGAGTTTGCCATCGAAAATCACCATTTTTGATAGGTAAATCGGTAAATCCTCTATTTCTATGAGCCATCTAAAACCATATGTTAAATTACCGGAGGGTAGGGATGGTCATACACAATGACGATTCTCTCCACCATCAGCCTCTGCTAAGGTTGGGCTTCACCTCAGTCATTGCCGTAGCCTGAGAACAGAGCCGTAACTTTTGGTCGATTTGAAATCCGCAGCTTTATGGTGACTACTTGGTGCTACATGTTTTGATTTTGTTTGATTAATTCCATTGGATGGCGGCTGTATCGGTTCCGTCCCTTTCAATTGATCAAATGGCTGTTGCTTGCTTTCCACCATATCCAAAGATATCCAACGAAGAAAATCATGTTTGAAGCCTATCCGGTGAGGCTTCCGTAAGATCTGTAAGTTTCAGAGGCGTCACCGCGGTAACATGCTATGACTGTCCCTGTTTAAAGACCATTCCATCCAGTAGGGATCAAGGCCACCATCGTGATCGCTATTGCCTCCCTATCTGCGCCCCGTCCTGTCGCTCGGCTTGGTCAGTATAGTTCGAGTATCACCCCCAAACTATCCCGAACTAATCAGGTTCAAGCATGTTTAATCCTTTGCCGTAAAGAAATGGCATCCATCGAGACCAGCGGTCCGATAATTGCGGATAATTGCGGATAATTGTGGATAATTGCGAGTGCCATACACCGTAGATAGATAGATAGATAGATAGATAGATAGATAGACAGATAGATAGATAGATAGATAGATAGATGGATAGATAGATAGACAGATAGATAGATAGATAGATGGATAGACAGATAGATAGATAGACAGATAGATAGATAGATGATGATAGATGGATAGATAGACAGATAAATAGACAGATAGATAGATAGATAGATAGATAGATAGATAGATAGATAGACAGACAGATAGATAGATAGATAGATAGATATAGGGAATGGATATCGTGCCCATTTTTAATGACAATGACAATAACATCGGCAGGGTATCTAGATTACTGTAGCGCTGCATATTTCTTCAGGAAAAATGGTAGGTCCGTATTTTGAGCTCAGCGGCACCTATTTTTCCCCCAATGACTTGCCTCACGTTGCACCTGCCCCAGGAGGGTCAAGGGGAATAAACTTCCGAGCTGGGCCCCCCTGGGCAACCCTTGGTGGAATACTTCATGTTCACCAAATAAACTTGTTTGCCCGGTGATCACAGGATTGAATCCCCACTTCGGTTGGTTCGACCACCTTTTTTGATGGCTAGATCATTCAAATCCCTGATCTGGGGTTGGTATCTGAGTCTGTCTGAAAACAGCTTGGCCCATTCCCATCCAATGGTTGATCTCTTCAAACGTGCCATGAATTGGGTTTTCCACCATTTGGGATATCGCCTTGACCCCACCAAACTCCAAGATTTGAAACTCGCTTTTTGGCTGGTAAAATACGTAGTTTTCTGTAAACACATCCTGAAACCAACACCATGGTTCAAACAACCCTATTCTGCATGAGTAACATTCACAATTTTCATGGTTAAGTCTTATTTTTGATGAACCACCAGTCATTCCATGTATCTTTAGATGGATTTAAGGAAACTTCTACAGGAAACAATGTTTTTCTTTACCCATTGAACATAGCGGGTACGGTATGTCGAAAAAACCGGGTATCTCCAAAATCCAGAGGTTTAGAACCTCATATCCCTCGATAACATGGCATTCAAATTGAGGTCAATCACCCCATTTTCATTTTCAGACAAACCCTATGGTTTTTGGTACCATCATCATTGATGCGTCCCAATTCTTGGTTTGATCAGACCTCTTTTACCCATTGATTCCATGTTATTTTTTTTTACCCATCAAATTGGAATGCGTTTTACCCATTGATTGGCCAAATCCCTCTATCCAACGATGGTTCCTGGATCTCTTCCCTTCATCTTGATGATTTTAAACTCTAGTAACCTTAGGCTTTATGATACATATACATACATATATAATTTATATATAATCATATATACATATTATCATATATATATATATACATATCATATATATATATACATATCATATATATATACATATCATATATATATATACATACTCTATAGTATTCTATAGTATTCTCGGGGTTCTAAACTAACTTTAGCCCCCCTTCATCCAACGGACCCAGGCGATCCAGGCAAACTTGTCCAACTTCCGGAGCCTGCTGCCGAAGCCGCAGAAGGTGCCGCGGGGCGCCGCGCGAGCACTGGAGGTGGAGAGCACCTGGCCGAGCCGGGCAGGTCCTCAAGGGGCTGGGGTTAGCAAACAAAACTATTTTTTTTTTGGATTTTGGATGATTTTGGATGATTTTGGATGATTTTGGCGATATTAGGAACCAAAATTAGTGGTTTTCACCACACAAACTTGGAGGGGTTAGGGGAGTGGAACCATCAAAGCATGGGGGAATATTGGAGTTGGGACACCACCAACATGACAAGAAGAATGCGGATGTAGTATGTGAATCAACCAGGAAAAAGTAGGGATCAAAGTACGTAATCAAATTTAGGTATTTTCACCGAGCAAATGAGGCCTCACTGGCTGACCACACCCCATATTGTTACGATTGGGCAACCAACCCCTATTTTACAAGGTTTCAGGTTTGGCCGCACCTGGGCTTCTGTTTCTTTCTACC